AATGCAAGAGATTTCTGTGCATTAATTTTATATCCTGCAACTTTACCAAATTCGTTGATTAGTTCTAGTAGCTTTCTGGTGGCATCTTTAGGATTCTCTATGTATAGTATCATGTCATCTGCAAACAGTGAGAGTTTTACTTCTTCTTTTCCAATTTGTATTCTTTTTATTTCTTTTTCTTCTCTGATTGCTGTAGCTAGGACTACCAAAACTATGTTGAATAATAGTGGTGAGAGTGGACATCCTTGTCTTGTTCCTGATCTTAGAGGAAATGCTTTCAGTTTTTCACCATTGAGAATGATGTTTGCTGTGGGTTTGTTGTATAGGGCCTTTATTATGTTGAGGTAGGTTCCCTCTAGGCCCACTTTCTGGCGAGTTTTTATCATAAATGGGTGTTGAATTTTGTCAAAAGCTTTTTCTGCATCTATTGAGATGATCATATGGTTTTTATTCTTCAGTTTTTTAATATGGTGTATCACATTGATTGATTTGCATATATTGAAGAATCCTTGCATCCCTGGGATAAATCCCACTTAATGTGTTGTTGGATTCTGTTTGATAGTATTTTGTTGAGGATTTTTGCATCTATATTTATCAGTGATACTGGTCTGTAATTTTCATTTTTTGTAGTATCTTTGTCTGGTTTTGTATCAGGGTGATGGTGGCCTCATAGAAGGAGTTTGGGAGTGTTCCTTCCTCTGCAAATTTTTGGAAGAGTTTGAGAAGGATGTGTGTTAGCTCTTCTCTAAATGTTTGATAGAATTCACCTGTGAAGCCATCTGGTCCTGGACTTTTATTTGTTGGAAGATTTTTAATCACAGTTTCAATTTCATTACTTGTGACTGGTCTGTTCATATTTTCTATTTCTTCTTGGTTCAGTCTTGGAAGGTTATACCTTTCTAAGAATTTGTCCATTTCTTCCAGGTTGTCCATTTTATTGGCATAGAGTTGCTTGTAGGAGTCTCTTATGATACTTTGTATTTCTGTTCTAACTTCTCCTTTTCCATTTCTAATTTTATTGACTTGAGTCCTCTCCCTCTTTTTCTTGATGAGTCTGGCTAAAGGTTTATCAATTTTGTTTATCTTCTCAAAGAACCAGCTTTTAGTTTTATTGATCTTTGCTATTGTTTTCTTTGTTTCTATTTCATTTATTTCCACTCTGATCTTTATGATTTCTTTGCTTCTGCTAACTTTGGGTTTTGTTTGTTCTTCTTTCTGTAGTTCCTTTAGGTGTAAGGTTAGATTGCTTATTTGAGATTTTTCTTATTTCTTGAGGTAGGCTTGTATTGCTATAAACTTCCCTCTTAGAACTGCTTTTGCAGTTCTAAGGTATTCTGCTATTGATTCTGCTATTGATTCCTTCTAATGTATTTTTTATTTCAGTTATTGTATTGTTTATCTCTGTTTGTTTGTTCTTTAATTCTTCTAGGTGTTTGCTCTTTAATTCTTCTAGGTCTTTGTTAAACATGTCTTGCATCTTCTCGATCTTGGCCTCCATTCTTTTTCCGAGGTCCTGGATCATCTTCACTGTCATTATTCTGCATTCTTTTTCTGGAAGGTTGCCTATCTCCCCTTCATTTAGTTGTTTTTCTGGGGTTTTATCTTGTTCCTTCATCTGGTACATAGCCCTCTGCCTTTTCATTTTGTCTGTCTTTCTGTGAATGTGGTTTTCCTTCCATAGGCTGCAGAATTGTAGTTCTTCTTGCTTCTGCTGTCTGCCCTCTCAATTTCTTCCTTTCTAATGTGAGCCCTTAACTATATAAAATTTCCTCTAATCACTGCTTTATCTTCACACCACAAATTCTGAGACATGATTTAAATTTTTTTTCATCCAGCTCAAAATATTTTCTAATTTCCTTTGTGATTTCTTCTTTGACCCATGGTTATTTAGAAGTAAGTTTTTCAGTTTGAACAGGTTTTCTAGATATGCCTCTGTTACTGATTTCTAATTTAATTCCATGACAATCCAAGGACATACTTTGTGTGATTTGAATCCTTTTAAATTTATTACATGTGAAGTAAGGCTGGGGACCCATAGGGGCTCATTGGTGGGGGAAGTATTATCTTTGTCATAAGCCACCAGAGGGTTTTAAGCAGACAGAGAATTTGATTTGAATTGGGTTTCATTGGTCTGGCGTACATCAGGTGTGAAAGTGGGGAAATGGGATGCGGAACTGGGGTTTGAGGTTTCTCTGAGTTGTCCAAGGAGAGTGGGGAGTTGTCTAAAGCGTCTGGATCTCCAGGGAAGGGTGTAACTTTGTGACAGTGCTGCAGATATCAGAGCACGGAGGGGTACAGGTGAGGGCGGGGAGCCGGGTGTTCGGGAAAGAGCCCTGGACTGGGAGTCAGGCAGGGTTAGGCGGTGTGACTCTGAGCATGTCACTTCACCTCTCTGGGCTTTAGTTTCCTTACCTTTAAAATAGGTGATCAGCCTCAATGATCCCCTCGTTTTAACAGCCTGGGCTGCTGCTTGTATAGGGAGGGTCTGCATGAATTAGGAAAAGATGACCCCTCAAGATAGACACACAGAAGGGTGGCCCTGAAGCATAAGGCCTAAAATTAAGGCCTAATATTCTGTGCTGCCTTGACATCTGGTGAAACCGGGAGGGCCTCTGTGGTTTATCTGCAGGTCCCCTTCCCCACTCTGCTCCTGGGGGTAAGGTCCCCCAGCCAACAACAATGCTCATGGGGGTTGGGGGGGCCAGCACAGTTCCTGTCCTCCCTGAGAGGTGGGGGTCGGGTCCCTGCCAACCTGTGGAATGATTCAAGCAAGCCAATCACACGGTCCTGTGGAACCAGGGGTCCCCCCGCCACCTTCTTGATACCACAGAGCCCACCTCCCACAGCCTTTGGTGGTTCTCTCTTCTCCTGAGTGCGACCCATGTGAGCCTGCGTGGTACACAGTGTGGAGCTCCCTCGGCTGTGAGTTTACGTGATTAGTAAACTGCTGTGCATCTTATCTGTGCAGTGTTAGGTTGGACCTTCCCTAAAGCCACATAACCACAGGGCGGGAGGCCTCCCTCACCAATGGGGGTAAACAGGAAGTGATTAAAACAGCCCCTTTCTTGGAATGAATCCAGCCCCTGTTAGGGTAAGAGGCTGAGTTGGTGCAGCCTGGGCTGGGTTTCAGCTCCATGTGCCTCGTCTACTGGTGCCCGGGGGCAAACACACCTGGTTGCCTGTTCCTGGCAGCTCTGGTAGCAGCTTCTACGTGTTGGAATCTGGTCTGTGCTAAGATCTGCTAACCTTGTCACCCACCCTGGGAGGTAGATTCCATGAGTCCCATTGTACTGATGGAGACTCTGTGAGTGGCAGAGGAAAGACTGGAGCTCAGGTCTGTCTGGACCCTGCCCTACGATCCACTCTGGAAGCTGGAAGGTGAGAAACCTGCAGCACCATGTTCTGAGAAGTGAGAAGAAGTGGGTGGCTGAGTGAAGGTGTGAAGACGAATCCTGGCAGGGAAGGGAGAGAACCACTGTGTTAACGAAGTGGACCTGGGGGCAGCCAGGGTGGGCGTGTCTGTCTGCCGGGCGTCCTGCGATGCTGAGGTGGGTGGAGAGTCTGGCGGGGCAGGGGGAGCAGAAGTGAGTGGTGATGTGGCCTTCAGCCTCAGCACACAGCTGCCAGCTCAGACACACCAAACCCTCAAGGCTGCCCAAATTGCTTCCACCCTCTGATCACAGAAGAGGCAATTCCCACCAGAGCGATCTTTGGCCCAAGGGGCTCCCGCAGGCAGAATTTCTAGAACCAGGTGGTTTCTGTAATGACCACCTCTCCTGGCTGCCCCTGACTGCTGCTGTCCTCCTAGAATAATGAAAAGGGAAAGCAGTTGTGTGCCGTGATGGCTACAGCTCTGAGGCTCGGAGGGCAGAAACGGGGGTCAAGTCTTATGGGAATGTAAGCTCTATGAGATTAGGGTTTTATTTATGGCTGTTACCCAAAGCATGGGACAGTCCCTGACATGTAGTAGATACACAACAAAAATGAATTAAGTGAAAGAGTAAATTAAGTCTTAGCTTTCCTGTCTCTTAGCTGGGTGTCTTTAGGCAACTTGCATAACCTCTCTGTGTCTCCATTTCCTTGACAGTGAAATTGGACAGAACAGCACCTTGTGGGCTTGTTGCATGGATCAAATCAGATGCTATATTAAAACAATAAGGGCTCACTAAGCCCCCACTGTTATCATTACTATTATCACGATCTTGGCTCTTGTTTAGCAAGGAGGGCTGCCTACAAACCCTCTCACCCGAGACACAGCAGCCACACTTATGGAGCACGTGCTGTGGGCCAGGCACTGTCCTTCGTGCTCTCATATAATTACTCACTTAAACCCAAATACAACTCTTTGAGCTACACTGTTTTTTTTCAACACCTGTTTTACCAATGAGGAAGTGGAAACTTAGAGGTGATTCTGGCTATAAAAGAAAGTCGAGGAACGTTCCTTCATTCCTATTCTCTCAAAGAACATACATGAGAATAGCATGGCTTTTTTCCTGGAGGGCCCGAGGGAAGACACCTGATAATCTGTCTGGGCCTGGGCTCCTTTGCAGGAAGCCTTAAGGAGAACTGTTGAGGATCTCTTTTTCTTCTTGTGTCAGTTTGATGAGAGAGGGAAGACGCTTGCCTGCGTAGGCAGGGATTCAGTCTTGGGCAGTCTGGCTGCAGAGCCGGGCTCTTGACCAGTACATTTTCCTGTCTAAGGTACAATCACCTTCTACCCGTGAGGCCTCAAATAAGTCACTTCATCTCTCTGAGCCTCTTGTAAACAGGGAGGGCAGTAGTATCTTCCTAGCAGGGTTGTTGTAAAGATTAAATGGTTTCAGAAACATGCTGCCCTGAGTATGGTGTCGGGAACGCTCTGGTCACTGAACAAGCCCGAGCTGCGGGCATCGTCATGATGACCAGCCCGGCCCTGTTCCTGACCTCTCTGCCCAGGACGTCTCCTGACCCTTGGGCTCTCCTGTCTCCAGGCTGTGGTGGACCTGCCACCGTATCTGCAGCCCCATGCAGCTGCATCATTCCCAGGGTGGCCATGGGTCACTCACTGTCTCTCCAGGGCCTGGATGGTGTCAGGGAGTGGAAGTCCCCAGGTCTCCAGGAGGAAGAGGACAAAGAGGTGGGAAACGATGGGGATGACACCATAAGAGGGGGACCCCCGCTGACCTGCTGAATGCAGGAAGACTTCTGCTGTCATCCTGTGGGTAGAGAGGAGGTTTGGGACGCTTGTCACAACTGCCACTTCAGAGGGGCTACTTGGCTGGGTCAGGGGAGGGAAAGCTGGGCTGCTGGAGTCGCCCTCCTCCAGGGTTCTTCCAACCCTACCTCTTCCATTGAGCCCACCTAGATTTTCCCATCCAAAGGGTCTCTGCCTCCTTGGAACATCCAGAGTCCTTCATGGGAACTCTCTAGGGCCCATCCTATTCTCCCTGGTCTCAGGTAATTTGGAGGCTTGTCTCCGCTAGGCCACGGAGCTCCCAGTCAACAAAATCAATAAATGTGTGTCAAGAAAAAAAAGAAAGAGTGGACAAGCGAGTGAGTGAGCACCGTGGGTGAGGCTGGGCCAGGCCTCTGGGGGCTGGGGTCCAGCGCTGCTCCTCAGCTAAATCTTTGGCCACCCTAAGCCTCAGTCTACCCAACTGCCCAATGCAGGGGTGGTCTGACTCTAGACCACTGGGTTCCGAGGAGGTAACCTGGGGCTCTCTTGGGGCAGGGAGGGGACAGTGGGAGGCAAGCAGAGTCCCCACTACCCCGGGTAGCTCTTGGTCTCCTCACCAGGGCTCTTATAAGATTTCACCTGAGCAGAGAGCTGTGTGGCTCGAAGCGGTTTCCAGTCCAGAGGCCTCCTGAGGGCTCTCTGTGGGGCTGCCTCCGAGCCTGGACTCTTGGGGAGAGGCTGTTTGCGGAGGCCCTGGCTGAGCAGGTGCCTTTGGGGGAAGGACTCCAGGGCGTCTGCTCGGTTCCATATCGGCACTGGGTCCCCCTCTCCCTCTGCTGTGTGTCCCTGGGTGCCCAGCCCCTCTCTCTACCCCCGCCATGGGCCCTCGCAGGGGGGTCCCTTTCTCGCCCGCCCCAGGCCTGGCGGCCCCTCCTGGGCCCAGCCAGCAGCCCAGCCTACCGCAGTGAAGTTGGGAAGAGTTCCGGCTTGTAGACCATGACGCAGGTTAAGCTGGTGCCAAAACACCCCTCTCCCAGCACAGCCAAGGTCACATGCAGGGTCTGCAGATCTTGGCAGAGGAAAGGAGGAGGGTGGGGTCTGCTCGGGAGGGTCCCCAGGAGCCTGGAGCAGAGTGACTGGGTTCTCCCACAAGGCTGCTTTGGACTGAAAGCAGGTCCCGGGCAGTGTGACCAGGTGCCAGGCTGCCCCGGGCCAGGTGGTGATGCAGTGCAGGATGACATCCTGGTGGGTGGGCCGGGGGTGGGGTGCAGGGCAAGAACCCAGCCAGGTCCGGGGTGGGTGAGCCTGGGGGCAGCTGTGGGTGGCACTCGAGGGGTGACAGTGCCAGGGCTCCTTGGGCCTTGAGGGTGCTTCTTCCCTCAAAGGAGAGGGTCACGCTAGGCCCAGGCCCACAGCAGGGGCCCTGGGGTGCCCAGCTACCCAGAACCCTTCCCACCACTCCTTCCCACCACCCCTCAGCCTGCCTGTGGGGCCCCTGCTTCCACAGCGAGCCTTAGCTGGGAAGCCAGGGTGCAGGTCGCAAGCCAGCGGTGGGCCTGGGCCTCACCTCCCTTCCCGCATGTGGTTGGGAAGAGTCATAAACTCTCAAGTGCTCGTCTTTGGGGTTTTTCTCAGAGCGCTGCATCTCACTCAGAGTTTGGGCTCCCGACTGGTTCTCCATCCTCACCCCGCCCCTCCCAGCGGCTGGTCCTCCCTTGCCTCCCTCCTGGCTTTGCTGCCACCGCGGGACACCTGTCCCTGCCCCTCCCCCAGTCACCCACCTTGAGCAATAAAATGAGACATGCAGAGGGTTTCTGGGGCCTCACAGCCTCAGTCAGAAAGGAGAATGAGACCAGGGCCCATCCCGGCTCCCCCAGTGCTCTGCCTCTTGCTTCTTCTTTTTCTTTTCAATACAGATTTTTTTGTGTCATTAATGCACCCACATTTTATAGTATCTGCAGTATGAGGTTTTTATTTTTTTTATATATAAATTTATTTATTTATTGGCTGTGTTGGGTCTTCGTTGCTGCGCGTGGGCTTTCTCCAGTTGCGGCATGCAGGCTTCTCATTGCAGTGGCTTCTCTTGTTGCTGAGCACGGGCTCTAGGCACGTGGGCTTCAGTAGTTGTGGCGCGCAGCTCAGTAGTTGTGATGCATGGCTTAGTTGCTCCGCGGCATGTGAGATCTTCCTGGACGAGGGCTCGAACCCATGCCCCCTGCATTGGTGGGAGGATTCTTAACCACTGAGCCACCAGGGAGGCCCCCTTTTGCTTCTTTTTTTGTTGGCCATGTGGGAATCTTAGTTCCCCAACCAGGGATCAAACCTGGGTCCCCGGCAGTGGAAGTGCAGAGTCCTAACCACTGGACCGCCAGGGAAGTCTCCCCTCTCGCTTAGTTAACAAGAAGAAACACACTTGGCCTGGTGCCTCTCCTGCCTCACTTGGAGCCCCTCTCAGCCTCCCAGACCCTTCTTCCCACTGCAGACTTGGCCTCTGGCCTGAAGTCTGGTCCAGGCCTGGCTTTGTCACTTGCTAATGAGGGATCTTGGGCACCTGGCTTCGTCTCTCTGAGCCTCAGTTTCCCCAGGAAAATGGGTGGCGGACTGGTTGGGCTGTGGCAGTAATGGCCTTGGGCAGAGCCAGGGCGCAGTGGCCCCTGCCCATCCTCGGGGCCGGGGGAGGGGAAGAGGCTGGTGGTGGTGCGGTGCAGTGGACAGGCCAGCAGGCGCCCGGGCCGGCAGCCCCTCAGCCTTCCCTCCCGCTGCCCTGGCTGCACCTTGTGGGACCAGCATGTTGGCCAGGATGGCGAGGCCAGCCACAGCCAGGGAGCCAGCCAGGGTTGTGTGGCGGCCAAAGAACCTGAGTTGGAGCGTGGTGGTGATCCGGGCCCAGAAGTCCGCGGCTCCAAAGAGGACCTGGAGGAAGAAGATGCTGCTCCCCAGGTTCTGCAGGAGGAGGACTGGCCCATAGTACGAGAGGGTGAGGGACAAGCTGTGGGGCAAAGTCAGGTCCCTGCACCATCACCTACGCCGGGGCCGCACCGGGAGGGCACCACCAGCCCAGACCCCCCGGCAGCCTGGTGAGTGCAGGATGCACCTCTCAGGGGTCAGGTTGTCCCAGGAAAGGGTGGGGAGGGCGGTGGCCCCATCCATTCCACATGTGGGCCTTGGGTGTTAGCCTTGGGTGTCGGCCATGGTGGGCTGGACCTTGCCTCTTAGGCTCCCTCTCTGCCAACCAGCAGGAAAACATGATCCTCTCTGGGCAGATGGGGCAGTGGGTCACGCTGACCTGCCCCTTCGCCAGGCTCTAGCACCCTCTGGCTTTGTTTCCTGTTCCCAGTCATGGCCGGGAACCATGATCTGGGTCCCACTCTACTAGCCATGGACCTGGGCACGTCTCTGCCTGGCCCTCTCTGGACGCGTTTCTTTGTCTTGAAACATGGGATTAATAATAGAATGGGGTCTCAGTGGAGGATGCTGGCCTTCCCCCTTCAGTGCCCTGAGAGTTCTGCCCCCGAGCTGGGGAGAGCATCCCATGGCTGGTCTACACGGTCCAGAGAGATGACTCAGAAGGGTCACCCCAGCTCCCAGGTCCCCAGGCTGGGGCCTGGCTGTGACGGCATCACCACGACTTCTCCCCTGCCCCTGCTGCTTCCTGCCCTCCCTGGCCCCTCTCTGCTTCCATGAGAGGTGATCCCTAGAGCCCCCTCTGTGAACTGCCTGCTCATGGACCTCCATCTCAAAGTCGGCTTCCCAGGGGACCCCCTGACACAGGCTCCTGAGTAGCTGAACTCACAGTAGCTGAATTTCTACACCTTGGAGATTGAATCTGGCTCCACAAGTGGCCATGGCAGGAAATTATCCTCCACCACTTTTCCAATCTGTCCCCATCCCTGCTTCTCCCAGCCCTCCCCTTCAGCGGCACATGACTGCCGTCCTCAGGAGACATCTGGCGCCACCAGGCCAACAACGGTAGAAAAAGCTGCGATTCCTGCAGAAACGCAGAGCTTCCTGAAGTTTGTGTAAGTGACTTGACAAGGGCCAGGCTGGAGCTGAAAGCGGCTGACCCGTAGGTATCTAGAGCCTTAGCCGGTAACAACTGGGTTAACAGAAACAAGAAAACCCACTTCACAGCCTGTGATTTGAATAACAAAGAGTGCAGGGTGGCCCCTGGGAGAATTGAGGAAGCCTTGATGGTTTTTGAAAGAATGGCCCTGGACATTCAGTGGCCCTGGGCACTCCTAATTTATCAGGGAAAAAAAAAAAAAACTTAAGCAAAAAAATAAAAGAGAGAGAGAGAGAAGCATTTGATGCATTCTCTGTCTGAGATGTAGCACGTATTTGCCATTATAACCCATATGTGCTTAAATATAGCATAAAATAGATGTTTTCCTAATTTTGAGTTTTATTTCAAGATCAAGGCCCAATCAAACCTGACCCTCATTTTTCCATCCACTCTCCTGGAAGTCACTTAAACTGAATTTGTCTTAAGGAGCCTTTTCCTGATCCCAGGTACCCCTGGGAGGTGGGGCCTCCTGGGGCGGGACGGAGAGTCCACGCTCAATGTGGGGCTGGAGGGTCAGAGAGCAGGACGAGGAGGTAGCTCAGCCTGGGTTCAAACGCCTGCTCTGTCATCTTGGGCAAGTTTCTTGCCTCTCCCAGCCTCTCTTTCCCCATCTGTAAAGTGGGGTATAAATGAACTTATCTGCCACCCTCTAGGAGTCCAGCTGTCAGGGTGAGTCCAGTGCTGACCGGCAGTGATCCTTTCTAGCTATTGATTGTCCCTTGGCTCTGAGGACCTGGCTCTGCCTCTGCCCTGGGCTTCAGCCTGACCCTGGCACCCTGCCCAGGACCACAGCCCAACCCTGCCGTCTAGCTGACTTCCTGCACAAGCTGGCCTCCCGATCACATCTGTACGTACTCTGTCTCCCCCACCTGCTAGGCTCCTGCCTCCTGGGGGAGCTGCCTGTTCTGGCCAGAAATGTACCCCATGAGGCCTGCAGGGGCTGTTTTCCCACTGGACACCCCGCCCTCCTTAGCCCCGGGAGGGATGCTCAGGATGGCATACCTCACTACCACCAGTCTGCAGCTTCTCCAGTGGAGCGCGAGCATATGGAACAGGTCCAGCCCTGACCGGCGGGACTCCGCAGAGGCTACGTCCTCCTCCATGCTGGACATCAGTACCTCCAGGGATGACGGGGGCAGTGAACGTTGGGGCCATGGCCCTGCCCCACCCCCGTGCCGGGAATGGTGTCCGGATGGGCAGAGTGGTAGGGAGAGCCTGGCCTTGGCCTCTGGAGACTGGAGAGCCCTGGGGGAGCGGATGGCCTGAGGGCAGAAAGGGTTCTCTCTGGCCCCTAGCTGAGCTATCTCCCGCAGACCCGGTCGCCCTACTCAGAACCAAGGAGCAGGTCTTGTGTCCCAGCTCTAATCTCTGAGCTGCAGGCTGCAGGAAGGTTTTGACAGTTACCCCGCAAAGCCCTACCATCCCTCTTCACTCCTCTTGGCTGGCATCAGCGCACGCCCCCTCCAGCCATTGGATCCTCCCAAGTACCCATCTGGTCTCTGCCTGCACCCCGGGCCCGGCCTGCCCTGTGCTCCGCTCAGTCCCGGTCAGCTCTAGCTCACCTCCTCTTGGAAGCTTTCCCTGATCCTTCTGCCCCCAGGGAGCTCTGTGTCCTCTAGTCTCTGTCTGCACATCCTCCCACACCTACTTCCTTGAAATAGGTACCTTCAGATAAGCACATCCTGTTTCCCCAAATACGCTGAGAAGCCCCGTGAGGTAAATGAGCAGTACATGTGGATTAAGGTGATGAATAATAGAGATGGTGACGTGGGTGTGCTGTTGTTGATAATGGTTGCCTTGTTGTTATTGGTGGTGTTGATGGTGGCTGTGGTGGAGTTGGGGATGGTGGTGATGAGGACGGCAATGATGGTGGTGAAGGTGGTGGTGATAGTAATAGTGGTGGTGTTGGTGATGCTTTGCAGAGATGTTGATGGTGATGTTAATGATGGTATTGGTAGTGATGGTGATAATAAAGGTGAAGTCAATTGTATGGTATGCTGGTGGAGGTGATGGTGGTGGTGATGGTGGTAATAGGGATGGGGGGTCTATGGAGAGTTGTAATGCTGTTGGTGGTGGTGTTGGTGGTGGTGGTAGTGGTGGTGATGGTGGTGGTGGTGATGGAGGTAGTGGTGATGGAGGTGGT